ATTGTGGTGATCACTTCATAATACGTGGAAGTCATTACGCTGTACACCTTTTACACTTACACAATGTTGCGTGTCAATTATATCCCAATAAAACTGAAAGAAAAAAATTAAAAGTCAAAGATAATGGAAACAGGCAAGATCTGAGCAAGAACCTCACAAAAGGGGAAACCCACACTGACAATAAGAAAATGGAGAGGTGCTCAGCATCCTTAGTCAACAGAGAACAACAAATTAAAACCACAACATCATAATACCACCACCAGAGACTAAAATGAAAGATTTACACTACCAAGCGTTGGCAAGGATGTGGAAAACCTAAAGCTCTCATCACTGTTGAGACTATAAACCAAAACGACCACGTTGGTCAACTGTATGGCATAACCTACCAACCAGTAATTCCACTCCAGAGTGCCCATGTCCATCAAAAACCATATACGTGAATACTCAGAGCAGCTTTCTCTTGAGAGCCAAAACCTAGCAACAGCTCAAATGCCCATCAAAAGTGCAACACACAAGTTCTGGTATTTTCCTACAATGAACTGTGTAGCAATGAAAAAGAATACACTGCTGCTACATGCAAAAACAAGATATATCTCACAGATGTAATGATGGGAAAGAAACCAGACACAAGGGCGCCGGGGTGGCTCAGTTGGTTAAGCAACTGCCTTCAGCTCAGGTCATGATCCTGGAGTCCCAGGATCGAATCCCGCATCGGGCTCCCTGCTCAGCGGGGAGTCTGCTTCTCCCTCTGATCCTCCCCCTCTCATGCTGTCTCCCATTCTCTCTCTCAGATAAATAAAATCTTTAAAAAAAAAAAAAAGAAAGAAACCAGACACAAAAGAGTATATACTGTAAAATTCCAATTTTATGAAGTTTAAGAATAGGCAAAATTGATCTATGGTGACAGACATGGGACAGGGGATATCTCATGAGACGTGCTGGGATTAACCAGAAAGAAGCATAGGAGAGCTAACAAGTGCTCAAGCCAAAATCTTAATCTTGATGGTAGTCGAAGGTACGTATTCACCTAAAAAAATCATTAACTATACACCTAAGATCTATATATGCACTTTGCTCAGTACCTCCACTGAACAAAATTGGTCCCCCTTTGAGACCACTTCAGAAAACTTATCCTGCAGATTTTCTATTAAATATGCGAAATAATATTGTACAAGGCAATTACTGGAAACAGAGGAAGACCTAAATAAGTCATGGTAGGAACATAAAATAATGTTCAATGGTGAAAAAGAATGAAGCTGGGGAGCCTGGGTGGCTCAGTCGGTTGGGAGTCAGACTCTTGGTTTCGGCTCGGGTCCTGATCTCATGGGTTATGGGATAGAGCGCGGAATCCAGCTCTGTGCTCAGCGGAGAGTCTGCTTGGGGATTCTCAAGCTCTGACCCTCCCCAAGCTTGCTCTTGAGCTCTCTCTCTTGCTCCCTCTAGAATAAATAAATAAATCTTAAAAAAAAAAAAAAATGAGGAAGATATAGGAAGATTTCAGAAAGGAGATTTACTGGAGTGACTAAGACATTGATTTCTGGAGTCTGAATTCAAGTCTCAATTCCAACACTAACTTTGCAAAGTTGGGCATGGTGCTTAACCTCACTATGCCTCAGTTTCTCCACCTGTAAACTGGGCGTAATGATTAATAGCACTAGACCTCATGAGGTAGCCACAAGGACCAAATAAGTTAATGCATGTAAAGACTTCAGGAGAATGCCTAGAACATAAGCAGTTAATGAAAATTAGCCACCAGCATCATATCATCCTAAAGTACCATAAGTTATATTATTCCAAGGACACCATCACCGTCAGAAGATACACTGTCTCATGGGGGAAAAAAAGCATGGTTTGAAACAATGTTTGCAGCATGCAGCCTTCATGCAAAAATGAAAGAAAATAGGACTAGATATTCATTCTGTTTCAATATACATGAAAATCCCTTCAAAAACAGGCAAGAAACTTCTATTAGTGACAAGTTACCTACTTTGTCCAGATAGTGACCATAATGGAAGAGAGGCGTGGAGGTCAAGTTTTCACTATTATTAATGTGGTGAAATAACTAAGACATTTGATCCCTGTGAATGTAGTACCTATTTAAGAATTATATTTTAAAAATGTTGCTAGCATGCATGTTTAATTATAGCGTAGGTGAAGCTGAAGTTTGCTTTCATTCAGCAAGTTTTATACAAACAAAATTTCAAAGCCACACTAGAGGGATGTAGTTAACAAATGAGAGCTCTCTAGTTTCCTGTATTTCTGTGTGAACATAGTAACAAAAGGGAATCACGGTACAGAGGCCATTTTATCTTCACTACTATCACCGACAGTACTACCCAAATAGTCTGACCCCACACGTTACCTCCTTACTACTCAGGTTTCTTTTGTCTCCTACTAACCCCAACTTCTAGGAATCTTTCTGCCTCAATTCCTACTATTTCTGATCATTTATTTCAAGCAGACCTAATTTCTGCTTAAGTTTTTTCTCTGGCTCCCACTGTGACCTAGGATATATACAACTGGTTACAGCAGGACATCTACTGAACAAAACCATGGTATCTATTCTGGATTTGCAAACAAATATATTCTTTGTCTCGTTTTTTTAAGCACGATCAGGAAAAAGTTTTTATCTGCCATAATAGGAATTTAGATTTGCTACAGAAAGCCATCTATTAAGACAGTTTTCCAGAAAAATAGGATTTTATCGATTATTCAAAATAGTGCCAGGTAAGGAAAAAAGATGCTGATTTCCAAAATTTAAAAGATACCTGATTTCCAAAATTTAGAAGATAGCTGTTTTATCTCAGACATAGGTTTATTCAAAAGTAGGCATAATTCCATCAGCTGTGCCTTCATGTTTAATTAGCAATTCTAAAAATCCCATAATTTTTGTTAACAATTTTTGTTGACAATTTCAGATACATTTCACTTTGCTGCCTCTAGGTGGCACAGTTACATTTTAAAAGAGTAAATGAAAGGCTATTCTTTGAAAATAGAAAAATATCTCGGTACTGTATTTTTTAGCTTTAAAGAATTGTGTATTACATTTTTTAAAAGATTAAAAGCATGAAAGATAAAATAGCTTATTCTTTCTAGAAAAGGATTATGCCAATTTAAATAGTTTAGAAGAACAGCTAGGAAGTTCAAAAATAGATGCTTTTAAGTATTAAATAAAAATAAAAGTTTCACATGTACAGTATCATGTCATTAACAGTGAAGCCTATAAAGTGCCTTTTGTGTGTGTTTTGTTTCATTTATTTTGCCCAACTTTCTCTACTTATTACGTAAAGTTCAGACAATGCTGTATCTCTATTATTTCTCCTCCAGTACTTTCTAATTTCGGGTTATTTTATAATCAAAACCTGAACGATAAAACACTTTGAAAGAAAATGCTTCATACTTTATTGCTTCATGCTTGAATGTGAAAGGTTACTACAAAATAATAAAAATGTGAACTTAAGAGAAACCAGACTCAAAATTACAGATATCAAACACCTTCTATCTGGGAGAAGTCTAAACTTATCAACAAGAACTATACACAAGAAAAGGATAAATAACTTAAACAAATATGACTGAGTCGGACTCCTGTAGTCTCCACCCATGGTCAGCTGAGCTAAATAACAGACGTATTGACGGAGGTCACTGAAAGACAATCCTCACACCCCGCTAAACAATCTATTCCCTCTTCTGCCTGTCTGACCAGAGGTTGGGTATGGTATATACTTAGTTGAGGTGCAAAGAGAAAACCAAAAAAGGAGTTCAGGAAAATCTACTTCAGGCTTGCTTCAAAATCATTTCTAGTGGTAAATACACTTTCTGGGTTTGTTTGTTTGTTTTTAAGATTTATTTATGAGAGAGAGTGAGAGCATGTGAATGAACACAAGCGGGGGGGGTGGGGGGGAGTGAGAGAATCCCAAACAGACTCTCCACTGAGCACAGAGCCTGACATGGGGCTCGATCCCACAACCCTGAGATCATGACCTAAGCCAAAATCAAGAGTCAGACGCTTAACCAACTGAGCCACCCAGGCGCCCCACGCTTTTGTTTTGTTAAGAAAAGAAGAATTTACAAAAAGTAAGATATATCATGTTTCAAGATTATTTAGTGCTTTGATAAAATCCTGTCTAGATAACAGATTCAGATCTGGAGGCAGGAAGAGAAACATAAGCATCCTCACTCCCAGGCTAGCCTCGTGCCATTTCTCAAAAATGTCTTTCAGATTCCTAAGTAATTCCTTCCACTGCTCTCCAAATGCATGTCTACGTACTCCATGTATATACTGTAATATAAAATACAAACTAGTATGGCTAATTTCACACTTACCAGCTCAGGAACCAGGTTCACTTAAGTAACTCGTTAATAACGGAACTGTTCCAATACATTCATATACACATTTATATATATCTATACATTTTAGTTTCCCTGAGACTAAAGAAACTGGCTAACACAGACTAACATATGAATAGTGGTAAATAACAGAAAACAACATTAGCGTGATTAGCATTAACAGTGAAAAGACACGACCTGGGTCAATACTGTCACTTACCGTGACTAAATGAAAATTGCCACGGTTACTCTAAATTCAAGAGTCTAAAACTTATGCTGTATAGTGGGAAAAAGTGGTAGATGGCAAAGAAGGAAAATCTCTCACTGTTCACTGTGTATCTTTGGGCAAATGAGTCACTCTTTCCTGTTTAATAGTTGGACTGTATGGACCCAAAATGTCTCCAAATTTCAGAAGATCAAAGTTTAGTGGAACTGATTCACTTATAAAGTTTCCTGAAAATCCCTATAACCAAGTTCAATCCCATACATTGCACTCGGTCGTCACTTAATTTCCCTTTAAATTCAGAATTACCCCAAATATTACCTCCTAATACAAGGTAACAGTTTATGTTAAAAGTTTAATAAAAAAAAAAAATCTTCACTGGAGCTTAACTACGCATAGGGAAAAAATGAGGAAATTTAGTGTTTATGCATAAAGTTAACAATTGCCGTACCATTAAAACTGCATAGTTACTAAGGGAATAGCACTGAATGGTGGTGATATTTTCATCCGAGTAGAGTATATGGCACCCATCTGACTTCCAGCCTCCTTGTCCATTCAGCAAATCGAAATCCCACTGGGCAGCCACGGCATCTGCTCCGTGCGCGATTCGACGCAGTGTCACATTAACAGGGATGTGGTGGGTATCCACATTCACACCATCTGGAGAAAATGGGAAATGAAAATATTTCTGAAACAAACTTCAGAAACAATGAAATGTCGACTTACACACGAATGGGTACTCTGTGGTATTGTTTTTCACTAGGGACTCATTAAAGCGAGAAGGAACAAAAATAAGCATTTTTTAGGTATGGGATATCATAAAGTCCCACTGTCTAGTCACGACAGGAGAACATAAGCCACGTAACAAACCTATTTTGGTGAGAATCACAGGGGTAACCACCGTACGCCGTTTTCCATCGTCAGCCAAATTTGTTGAATTCCCGGTGGCTGGGAAAAGCTTTCCGTTGCGGAATGCGATGAGTTGAAGCTTATAGAGAGAGTCATCAGTGGGTCTGACTTCCCTTTTTTGCTTTGGTGAGAAAAGGGAAGGAGGAAGCTGAATAGAAGCCTCGACGATAGTATTCTGAATATACATAAAAAAAAAAGCAAAATCAAAGAAAGGTTGCCATATTAGTGTGCAGAAACCAGAAAGAATAGTTCGAACGGCTATGAATGTTTAATAGTTAGAACAATTTATCAGTTACACGAAATATCCAAACACCACACCAAAGCACAGAAGAAGCATAAAATAAAGAGAAATGCAAACTCTATTTCAAAGAGTTAAAGTCGTAAACAAGGAATTATTTCAGACAATAAAGTGAATTTTCCCATGGTAACAAATACTGCTGACGTCGATAGCATTAAACAGATCAAGAATCTCAGTGATCACTCTTTCTATCAATTTTACAACGATCAATTATAGATATAAGCACCAATGCAACCCACCACAAATGTGAGTTTAATTAATTTGGACTTATGGAACTCTAAGGTGATTCAGGATGGATTCAAACTGTCAACTAAAAGAAATTCTACATACTTAATAGAAACTTAGATTCAAGCAAACTCTAATCTTAGCAGAAGTGCCCCTGAGACTAAGAAACATGTTAAAAATCAGGTTAGAGAAACATAGTTAACAAACAGAGCAGCTGATCACTGAATGTTTTACATACTTCTTTATTAGGGATTGTTAAACTATAAATTATTTAGCATTCAATAAAAAACAAATCTGTATACCAAGGAGGCAAATAATTAACCACTTAAAAAAATTCCCTGTTTGAAGAATTCATCACAAAGTTTTTCTCTTGACATCAATCTCTCCAATCCACAGAATTTCCTCCTAAGAAACATATTTGATCTTAAATTAGTTTAAAGAGCACCCCAGTTCTCCAATGTTTAGCGAATACTGCCCCCCCCAATCCTAAGTACATCATATGATTTGGCTAAAACCTGCATTTCAAATTCCTCTTCTAACATTCCCTATTCCACCACCTGTAACCTGGCCACCCTGAATATATCAATCCTTGAGATTTCCTACATTTTTTATGCCACTTGGGAGTGCTGCACACGCCAGGACCCCTTGCTGAAATGCTCTGCTGTTTTTTTGTCTGGCAAACTCTTGAACTGGGCAGATCTGATTTCTAGCAAGATAATTTTGCAGGCAATGTCAAAGACGGATCAGAATAAGAGTGGCTGACAACCAGGAGAAAGACATCCTTAACATGGGGCTTTTTTGGAGGATTAATTACATGACTCCTCGGTATACTGCTTTTCCAGTTAGCTGCTCCCTCTTCTGGCCTCCCGTGGCATTCCGCACCCATCTCTATCGTAACTAATACGTGCAATATCACAATGCAACTCACTGTCTGCCCCTTTAACTACAGTAGCAGGATTTTTGAGTGCAGATCATCTCACTTATTTTTCTGGACCCCCTATGTTAATAATAGTTCCTGGTATTTGTATTTGATAAAAGTAACCCATTGTTTGTAAAACTAATGAAAGTCTGTGTGGCATGATTATATTTTCAAAAGGTTCTATTTAAGCAAGTGATTAACTTTAAAATGAGTTCTTAACAGCTGTGCTTAGAACAATGATGGAACACACTGGACACACACAAATATCTGCTGAATAAAGTATTCTGAAAGTCTGAATATTGGAAGTGTGAATACTTCTTTTAAACTGAAGATGCCAAGAAGATAATTGGTAGAAATATTTTGCCTAAGAAACATGCACAAAAAGGTTTCTACTATTCTCACTTACAAACATAATAACCTGATGGAGACACAGAGTCTGTTATAAATTCATCTATTAAATTTCTATGCTGTATATAAATTTATCTGAAGTGTGAAATGAGGTAGCAAAAAAGGAAAAACATCAACAGATTGACTAGTTAAAAGGTCAAAATCCTGACAAAGCGTTACAAACTGGACATCTATTAAAATTTAAGAACTATACGATTCAATAAAATAACTATTGTGAACACAAAACGACTCAAAAGCAAAGCACAACTCTCTAGGAAAGCATTACCTACGGGTTATCAAATTAATTTTAAAAAGAAGACATACTGACACTTTTTAAAAGAGCTGAAAAAGGAAATGACATCTTTCATTTCTGGAAGTCAGAAAATGTTTTCTACCAAAGTTTAAACTTGTAAAACCATCCAAACAACAGCAAATTATAAAAAGTCAGAAGAGTATGAACAGATCACCGAGAGATGAAAGCTACATACTTTGGCTTCTAAAATACCCTTTAAAGTCCAATAATGGAATATGGCTCAATAATAATTACAGGGACTCTGGAATGGACAAAGGATGGCTAGGAGTGCTGGAAAAACTGCATCAATAATGAATAATATTTGGATTTTTATAGTAAGAATATATTTGTATATTTCATTTCTTTAAAAGAAGTGATTGTTAATTATGGAAAAGTTGTAAATTTCATGAACCAAATCACCGAGGAACACCCATTTGTTACATCTGTCATGATTTTACCTTTTGCCACTTGGCCTAAAGGCAAGGAACCAGTCTGTCATTTCATTTAAACCATCTATTCATTTTAAAATGTATGGATCACAGCAATGGAAACACAAGGCAATTAGAGCTAATAAGTCAGAAAAAGCGCTCTTAAAACCCTTTGGGAAATACATGTTTTTGGAGCCTAATGTTTGCCACCCCTGGGGAAAGGAACATAAGATCTGAAACAAGAAACCAGGATGTGGGTCCCAGCCTTACCACTTTGTGGCCCCTTAACACGGCACAGTTTTGTTTACACTCTCTGGGTCTCATCTGTCATGGGCATCGAATGATGATCTAACGAATGGCTGTGAGGACCACAGGGGATCATGACCATGACAAGCACAAGAGGCTACATAATTGTGGGTGGTATTTTTATGACTATTACTGCCTCAGTGTGGCATGTGGTTATCTGGAGGCTGGAGGCGGGGGGTGCGGGAAGAAAATGCCTTCAAGTAATGGACTTACCAACAATCATCTAGAACCTCATCATATTTTGACTTCCACAGTTCACTTCTAGTATTAATTTCAATACTAAAAATTGACAAAGTATGAACATACATGAAATGGATGTTATCATAGAGCTCTTATTATTTTATTTGCAAAATTCATGTATATTTCCCTACTTACAGTGGCATTAAACTGGGAAGAAAATACACATCATAAGGGATATTAATTCAAATACTTCCACTAGATTTTAACACCTTTCCTTATGAAACAATCAGAACTTCTGATACTGTGTAGTTAATACATTAAAATTTCCTGAAATCCTAATTTTGCTCACTTCTATAGAATTCTAACACTAAAACTGGAATGAGTCAAAGAGGCACCTGCCTTAAAACAATAAAATACTAAAACAAATAATAAAAATACTAATTTACTTATGTTGTCTTAACAATCTACACTCTCGCTTTTAAACAGATATGATATGTGCTAATTTTCTTGTGTATAATTAGTTATTAAATGCATACCACTTTTTGATTATCTCACTGCTAAAGATTAACAGGGATTTTGTTTGCCTTCAGAATCAAGTTTTTAACTAACTTTCCTTGCTAATTAAGCTTTGGCTGCTAAATTTTATCCAACAGTATTTACTGGATGTTTCATTGCTCTGTGCTAGGCACTCTGGAGATATTCGATGAGTAAGCCATGGTCCCTGCCTCAAATATTCATAATCTAACAAGGGAGAGGCAACAACAATAAAACAATGACAAGAACATTTATTAAGCACTTGTTCTGTGCTGGACACTATTGTGAATGTCCACACATTTGCCTCACATAATCCTCTCAATAACCCATTGAGGTAGGTACTATTTCATGATGCCCATGTAACAAATGAGGAACTGACATTCAGAGAGGCTCAGGTACTTGCACAAGTTTGCACAGCTGTTAAGTGGGGGAGAAGAATGTGAATCCAAGATGTCTGGCTACAGAGACCACATTCTTTGTCCCCATATCCCATGGCTTCTCAGTATAACTCAACCTGCCATGATACCAGCTTCTAATTATTCTATAGAAGAACGAACAAAGCACTAGGACACTAACAGGCAGTGATGAATTCTCAGGAAGAGAAGGAGGGTACTATTTGAATGGAGTCTTAGAGGAGCAAGGCTCTTACTGGGCAGGGGTATGGGACTGAGGGCAGGAGAAGGGGCAGAAAGGAGGGAGGGGGCATGAAGACATATACGACTGGTCTGGAAAGTTAAAGAACTTCAGCTGGGCTAAAACCCTAGGTGTCGAGGACGAGGGAAATAGGGGATGCAGAGAGAAACACTGATTTCTAAATTCCACTCAAGAAAACTTTAAAGAACCAGTTCTTTTAGGCTACATTGCAGCTCTCCATTGAACTCAAAACACCAGCAAGTTCTAAAAGCTCTTAGTCATTTATCACAAACAGGTTCTGTCTGGTGATGGTAACATGGTCTGTTATGGTGCCAAGGGGGGAAGGAAGCATTCGGTGAAGACAAGAGCAGAGATTCGGTGCTGTAAGAGTCAGACGACAGCTACCTCAGTCTCCCCCTGGCCGACCGACTGAGGCCAGGCACTGGAACTCACTGCTGACTCAAGCCCTCGCTCTGCCCTCAAGCAGTCCTCGGTCCGGTGTAGTAGCCACGAAACCCATCTGGCTCCTGTACATCACGCACAATGATACAGGAGCTGAGCATTACAGGCAAAGTACGGAAGAGAAATAAAGGAGATGAGGGTGGGAGAGGACCGACAGGATGGTATTCGGTCAAGGTTTCTTGAAGGTGACAGTTCTGCACACAGCCAAATTGCCCGGGAAGGGTAAGGGTAGGAGCTGGGAAGTCTAGTAGGAGAATTAGCATGAGACTGGCCTAGGAATGGCCAGTGGTTGGGAGAGGAGCCAAGGGAGGTCTGTTGTTACCGGACCGAAGACAGGAGGGAGGAAGAGCCATGTGGCAGGAGTGCAGATAAATGCTGAAGGAGGAAGCTATCCGATGGCCAGCCTCCAGATAGACAAGGAGTGTCCATGAGGGGATGGGCAAGGTCAATTTCCACGCCAGGTAGATCCAGGGATAATGCTAACAATAGTAACCACCTGAAATGACGTGCACACAGACAACCTGCACGGTTCCTCAAACCGGAAGGCTCCTGGAGGCCCTCTGTTCTGTAGGTACCCGCCCTTCAGTTGCTAAAGGGTGGACGGACTGGGTGATGCTCCCCAAAGGACCAGCAGGGCTCAGGGAGCCCTCGGGAACTGGCACAGCAGCTAAATTTGCTACAGGGTTTGGAAGTATTTTACTATCTTACTGACTGTCCTGGTTACATTGGGACATGCTGGTCGAACGTCAGGCAGGCCTAGGTAGATTAATCTATACAAGAAGGATGGATTTTTAAGGAAGAGCCTAGGGACCCAAAGACTACATGGGAAGTCACAATGGTTTGGGTAATACAGAAGTCCAAACCAGACTGTGATGGTAGCAAAGACAGGACAGAGACTGAAGAAATACATAGGGAGCAATTCAAGTAAGGTTCCTATTGCTAACAGAGAAACTGCCTTTTTAGAGGTTTAACTTCGTATGATAGCATATTCTCCCATTCAAGGGTAATATCATCAATTAGGAGGTGTTCGCATTATCTTAGTATATTCAAGGCATTAAAAAAAAAAAGACATGCAAGAAGAGTAAAAACTGCCCTAGTAATAAAGTTAAAAATATAAAGTAAGTTTTCTATTAAAGTGCTAAAGCATTTTGCTCTTTTGATGTTATAATTTTTAACTAATTTTATGTCACAAAGGATATATCATGTCATCAATGAAGCATGAATAATAGTGTAATGTGTCCTTGGTTTCTGGCCATAGATGATCTTAAGAGGATAAAATCGTGTGAAATTGACAAATCTGAGTGTGTTCATTTAAAGCTTTCTACTCTGGCAGGTAGAAACTCTCCTTACCCAGAGGGGTAGCTTGTGAAATTGATTAAATGTAGGGTTTCATCATTTGTAATCCCTTTCTACCAACTATGATCATCTAAGATAGAAGGGTTCATCAATTTTAAGTGCTCCTCAAAGACACATGCTTCTCTCTCTTGGGCTGGTGTGCGATTCTGTGTCTCTGCCTTTTATGGTGTGTTTTTACTGATGAACAACACAGTAAGGAAAACAGCAGGTCAGCAGGAGTGTGGCTGGGTACATTAAGTACCCTCCCAGAGGGAAAAGTCACAAATAAATCTTGCCAATTTTCCTCTGAGTATATTATATCAAGTAAATATATTATCATTAGACATTCTGACCTAGCTGAGATTGTCTTGGGCAGTGGGGGAAGTTGGATTACTTCTAAATTTGGCAAACCGGCTCTCCTTATGGAGGTCACTGGCGTCAAGGTGAACAAAATAATGTTAATTTTCTTTCATTCATTCTTTCAATATCTACTGAGTGCCCACATCCATCCATCCATCTATCCATCCATCCATCCATCCATTCATTCAATATTTACTAAGTGCCCACAAAGTACCAGGACACCTAACACCCATTTGATCAATTACCATGCAGCCTTTAAAGTGAATGCAATGCTGTTTGTGATATAATTCAGGGACAAGCCAGAACCAAAGAACATACTGTGTAATTAAAATCCATAGAGAACACAGTTACACATGGCCACACAAAGCTAAATGAGAAAATGTGGTCGCATTAGGGTGTTGGAATCGTACCTCCACTATGTGCTTCGATGTAGTTTTAATGAAACACATCTATACCCCAAATGTTGAAACTCAATAAAAATGCTTTTCATTGCAACAAAACACACATTTTCTGAAGACAGATCACATGTTTGCACTTCTTTGCCAAAAATCTTGATCTACAGCTTGCCTGATTAAATGCCCGATCTCAAGACTGGCTTTTCCATTAGGTCCAGTGGACACAGAGCCAAGGGCACGCAATATTTGGAGGAGGTCTATGGAAATGTTTTCATGTCTTTAAAATTGGGAGCGTAAAAATGAACTTTCAGGTCAAAGAAAATGTTCTAAAATGTATTAATATATTCATCTTTTTACCACTTGCAGTCATAAAATATAATTTTGATATTTTTGTTTGGAGAATGGGGTCCAAAGGGCAAAAGTGTCTAAGCCCATGAAAATCATAACATGTCCCTTCCCGGTCTGAATTTCTTTTCAAAGAACAGCCAAAACAATACCAATACCCACCCTACCCCGCCCCCAAATAGCTTCTAAAAATTAGGTTATTTTGCAAAGCAAACCATTTTGAGTTTTCTAATCTGACAGTACTAACAGTAAAGAGTCTTAAATGCTTATGGAATACAACATACCTTTAGTGCCAGACTTGAAAACGTATTTGAAACATTGCACTTAAAGCTCAGCTGCTTATCCAGGTTTCCGTCCGGGTCCCGCCTCCCATACTCGGAAAGGCCTGTCCGGTCAGCGGCTGCTACCTTCTGGAACACGGTGCACGTCATCCCAGTGAAGCCCACCGCCTTGATGACATAAGCTTCCAGAGCAATATTGGGTGAATACTTCAAAAGTCAAACAGGAGTTATGAAAGGTTTACAGCATGAGGGAAAAGCACTTTCGAAGAGTTTTCAAACACAAATCACTGTACATAAGCTGGAGGCAAAAGCTCCACTTCTTACTTAACAAAGACATTGTGCAGGTAACTGGCCCATAAAAAAAGATGCTGGAAACCAAAGGATATCCTAAACTAGACAGATACCAAGTGAGGAAACAAATCATAAAGTATGGAGGATCAGAGATAAGTGAGAAATCAATTAAAAATCATTTAAAGAGCACTTTGAGGAAACCATAAGCTAAAAATGAAAGTGTCTTATTAAAAAAAATGAGCTAGAGAAATCAGTGGACTCTCTTAATGATAATACAAGAGGAGTATTAGGGTCTGAGAAATAACACTCTTAACAGTCGCCTCGCTCTGGGCTCGCCCAGTTGGAAGAGCATGCAACTCTTGATCTTGGGGTCATGAGTTCGAGCCCCACGTTGAGTACAGAGATTACTTTAAAATAAAAATTTAAAAAGTAAAATTAAAAAAAAAAAAATAGAGGTCTCCTCATTCCAATACTTCATGCCATATTCACTCTTTTCTATTACGGGGAAATGAAGTTAACTCTTTGCAGGTAGACAGCATCTCCGTCCTTTCTTTACGGATGACTGAGTGATGCCCACTGTATTTGCAAGGCACCATTCTAAGGACCATATATAGACAATGTCCTCTTTTTCAATTTTTTTTAAGCGTAAAATTTCTGTGTGAGGTATATAAAATCTATCAGGAAGATAAGATACAAATTAAAAAAATATAAAAGGCCACATAGAATCTGCCACGCACCATATGCATGGTAGAAAAGAACTGTTGGTTTCCCCAAATACTCAAGACTGACAAATCTTTGCATTAGCTTCTGTCACACGGATGACACATGGTGAAAAATCTTACTAAGTTCAATTATATTTGTTAACAAATGAAATTCCATTCTTTTACTGAGCAAAGATACATACTACTATGACAAACATGTGAAACCTCCATCAAAAGAAAGAAAACTGCAGTTTTGAGGTGCTTTGGAAGCTGTATCACATTACAAGTAGATGCATAATTTCCTGGAACCTTTTTAACACTTTGAAGTGGAGTGTAGACACCTACAATGCACCTTTATTATATCCTAGAGTTCTCTGAAGAACCAATGAGGTGCAGAGGAAGGAAGAAGCTCTTGGAGCCAAGTAGTAAGGCTAAAGCATGGGATTTAAAATGGATCTAGATGACCAGACAGGATAAAATGTGGCCATAAAAATGGCAAGCTGGTTTCAAGTAAGTTCATGTATCTGAGAAAGAAATTACCCTGAACCACATTGTCAGGATAGCAGCCAAGGTAGACCTCCATTCCATTTATTATTCAAGGAGGTAATCCTAAACTTCACTGAACAAAAGGAACAATAAAACACAGTATCATCAAAAAGATCCCATTGATCTTTGGGAAAACAGTAATCTTTAATTGTATAAAATCACAGGAGGATTTCTAGAATATTCTATGAACCTACTGAAATAATTAGGAAATGAAAACCATGGTCAAGATTCCAGAGTGTGAGTCATAAGGGAATGAGACTTTACTTTTCATATTTTACCACACTTTTAGAAAAAGTCAGCAGGACACCAGTTCAATTTAGCACAAATAAAATTTAATACTATTTAACTTAAGAGTGATTATTAAATATAAAAACCCATCATTCCAAAAGTGACATCGACTGGAAATGCCAAGAGTTCACATGGGTTGGAGGGCCTCCCAGTTCTCTTTTGAAATTGGAACCTGGGCAAGCAATCAGACACTCTCTCAAACTGGGACTGGATGGTGGGTCGATGACAGACAGTACAGCAAACCTACCGTGTGCTTGTTTGGTTTTAGATTAAATGGTGAGAACCATTTAAACAGCAAATTAAGAAAGTATTTTACAGTTACCAAGAAAACAGACTACTCAAAAGCAAAATGAGCTTTTAAACTGTTAGACAACAGGAAATTCTGTAATAATTGGCAGTAACGGAAAATACCCACCCTATCATGGGGGGGGGGAACCTATCTTTTTTAAGTTCAAGTTGGCTTTCAATGAATTTTTTTCTTAGAATTCAAGGACAGCGTTACACTTACTGTTGAATAAACATGAGCTCCGTTTGCTAATCGGTACGTAGCGATGCGCTGCAGACACTGAACAATTCTACTGCAGGCCTTCGCTTCCCTCTGTGCCAACCCAAGGACACGCTCATCAGCCAACATGATGTTACTTGCGATGTCGACCATCACATCACCTAGCTAGCAGGTGTGCAGGGGAAAAAAGAAAGACTTTTAAAACCAATGCAGGATGTTTTACATAATCAAAATCACAATGAGACACCAAGATTAGCCATCAGTCTCAATGTTCACGTGAAAACCCAATGGGCACTTTTATTTTTTCTCACTGAAACGTTTCCAGATAGGCATATCACGTTCGGTTATGACCATTTGGTAATACTTAGCTCAAAACAGTATACTTAAACAACAACCAACTCATTGGGGAAGGATGCCAGGTGGTACTCCATTTGACAAGGGGGGAAAAAGAAGGCATTAAATTAATCAAGGAGAACGGAAAGACATCACATGGTTCCCAGAATAAAGAGATCTCAACTCTTTGTCTGGGAAAACATTTATAAACACCTCTTTCTGTGTAAGTGTTAATTCAGTATTATTATTAAGAAATAGACATGACCACCTCATTAGTATCCTGTCACGTCCAAAAACCTAAGTGTGTCCAGCTACTGAGCTCCCCACGTGGGCTGGGCCACTGGATGGATGTTAGCACATACGGTTTCCACTACCTCGAATGAACTTCTTCTGTTCCTCCCAGCCTGATGAATGCTTTAAGATCCAGTGCCACGAAACAAATGGATCCTAAGAGGTGCTCACTCTTCCACCACTTGTTTTGTTTCATTTACTGAATTCCTTCTATTAAGTTCAGTTCCTCACTCACAGATGTAAGCATCTGTCAGGCAATCACAGCAAAGCGTCAATAACTCCTGTTGATCCTGACTTATATGTCCCACGTCAAAGAGATGCAATGAACAGTCCAGGCTAACGAGACATACTGGTGTCGAGGGTGTTTGGTATCAAGCAGAATGTTCATGAGACGGAGATCTATGGCAGAAAGAACTATAAAAGCATTCCAGAGGCAGGATCAGAGGATTTACAAGCTGCTGGGTCCTCTAATCAAGAAACAAGTAGCAAAGGTGGTAAGCCCCAAAGCCAAGCGAGAGAGCTAAGGCCGTTTTAGCAGATGTCTTTTGATCATCCCAGAAGATCCCAGATGAATTTTTCAACCCTGTTCTGCATCCAATACTCTTCCCAAGATGTATAAGTATGAGGCTGAGGTGGGACTGGAAAATGTTTGGTCCATCCCACCCACGGTTCACTTCACAAAGGAGACCAGAAATCCACCAGATCGCAACGCTGGAACACAATGGGATAAGGAACTAAGTGAGTACAGGGGCGAAGAACACGACTTCAAATCCTGACCACACTGGCTGGCTGGACACTTACCCTCCTGTACCTTCCTTTATTTGTAAAAGGGGGATAACAACAATCCTGTCTTTTCTGAATGTTGTGAAGATTAAGTTCCTATAATAAATACTAGGTTCCTGAAACCACGCCTGGTTAGCAGTATTCATTATTTTATTGCCTTTTTTTTTTTTTTTAACATTTCAATTCCAGCACAGGCCTTTCTTTGAAGATAGCTCTAGAAGGAGTGTTAAGAGGGGTGGTGCATTTACATCCAAAAATATGTAAGAACTCATATAACTCAACAGCAGAAGAACCAATCTGATTAAAAGTCAGGTGGAGCATCTGAATAGACATTTTTCCAAAGAAGACATACAGATGACCAAAAGGTACATGAAAAGGTGTCCAACGTCACTAAGCATCAGAGAAATGCTAATCAAAACCACAGTGAGATGTCACCTCACACCTCTGAAAATGGCTATGGAGAAGATTAAGAGTAAGAAGAGGGGATGAGGATGTGGAGACAGGGGAGCCCTGGGCACTGCTGGTGGGAATGTAAACTGGTCCAGCCACTTACTTATGGAAAACAGTATTGAGGTTTCTCAAAGGATTAAAGACAGAACTACCATATGATCCAGCAATTCCACTTCCAAGTATTTATCCAAAGAAAATGAAAACACTAATTTGAACAGATATACGCACCTCGTGTTCATACCAGCATTATTTATAATAGCCAAGACATAGAAACAACCTAAGTGTCTATCAATGGATGAATGGATAAAAAAGATGTGATGTGTGTGCACGCCCCCCCACACACACACTGGAATATTACATAGCCATAAAAAAGGACATCCTGCCATTTGCGACAACATGGTTGGAACTTAACTTGAGGTATTATGCTAAGTGAAATAAGTCAGAGAAACACAATTACCGTAGGATCTCACTTACATGTGGAATCTTGAAAAAACAACAAAAAAACAAAACAAAACAAAACAAAAAACCACCAAGAGAACAGACTGGTGGTTGCCAGAGATGAGAGTGGGGATTGGGCAAAACAGGTAAAGGGTATCAAAAGGTACAAATTTCCAGTTATAAATAAGTCATGGGGATGTAACGTACAGCACGGTGACTATAGTTAATAACACTATTGTATATTTGCAAGTTGCTAAGAGAGATCTTTCTCATGACAAGAAAAAATATTTTCTAACTCTATGGTGATGGATGTTAACTAGACTTACTCTGGTGATCATTTCACAATACACACAAACGTTGACTCATTATGTTGTACACCTAAAACTAATATATCAATTACACCTCAATAAAAAATTAAAAAATTGAATTTACAAAGAGGGGTGCCTTTTTAAAGTCTGAGTTCATATATAAAAAGGATCAATGCATCCAGCAAAACTGCCTTTCTCTACTCTCTAAAGTGCTGCCACCTCATTCAATTAAAAATACTTCACAGACTTCTCAATGCCCCTAACATAGTATATCACGATTCTTTCCTTATTTTATTTCCAATGTAAACATCTCGAGGGCAGAGACAACACAATGTCTCACTTATATTTATACCCTTATTCAGTAGTAAAACTCTTGGTGTACAAGCCAATAGCTACACAGTTCCGTTTACTCACTGACTATTTATTGAGGACCAAGGTAAGCCAGATACTGTCCAGAGCGATGGAGATACAACAGTAAGAGAAACATACAAGATCTATCTGGGGGCTTACAATCTTTGAGGAAAATACAAAACAAGCAAGTAAACACATTTTTTATAAGTGACTAGGTTGCGGTAACTGCAGTGAACAAACCTACCAGACTGATATATGATGAAGAGTAATAGAATTTAATCCAAACACCCTATTTTAATAGACCCAGACATTCTCAAAGGGCATTTCCCCCAAACCCAACACATTAACAAGATCAACTGAGAACTAGAAAGGCCTATAATCAACTTCAATGCAATCCAGAGCCTATCCATTTTATACAACTCATGGACTATTAGCATCCTAGTATATATTCTACATATTCCTAACAAACAGGTATGGGGGTGAATTTCATTCTAACAGAAGCCTTTGGGGCGCCTGGGTGGCTCAGCCGGTTAAGCGTCTGCCTTTGGCTCAGGTCATGATCCCAGGGTCCTGGGATCAAGCCCCGCATCAGGCTCCATGCTCAGCAGGAAGCCTGCTTCTCCCTCTCCCACTCCCCCTGCTTGTGTTCCCTCTCTTGCTGTGTCTCTCTCTGTCAAATAAATAAATAAAATCTTAAAAAAAAAAAAGAAGAAGAAGCCCTTATTTCTAGAGTTATAAAGGCAGTGGTTCCCAATACGGCCAATTGCTGAGTATGTCCATCAGCCATTTATCCAGCGACTGGAATAATACCTGCCAACTCTTAACAGGAATTCAGAGTTAGCTGGAATAACCTGGCTAAGGGTCTGTCTATTATTACCTATTGTTAGTTCAAAAAAAAAATTTTAAAGCAATTTTACTAGATTGAAGTATAATGGACAGGGATAGCACAAAATGTAAAGAGGATTCTGAACCCTGAACCAACTCTTGCCAAGGAACAGGCTGACACTCTTCAGTTAAAACCATGGGCCACTTGTACAGAAAAAAGCTCACTCAGAATTTAAAAGAAAAAAACAGCCCAAGGGTGGAGCCAAGAGCTCTGGAGAATTAATTTGAGGCTTACTCAAGGGACTGGTGATTTCTCAGCTAAACTTCAGAATCTCAATGGACCAGGTACTACTGTGTGACTCCTACTTCCCCTCTTTAGAGAGGGAGATACTCTGTCTCACAACTGTGTTTGGTGTGTGCAAGGCACATAACTTGTCTCCTTAGTTCATAGGTCTTTAGACTGAGAAGTACTCGACACAAGGAACCTCATTCAAAGAGCCAAATACACACCTGGACCTGATTTTGATAATGGGATCCTGGGGCTCAAGCCTGACCTGGAAGCAGTAACAGGATGAAAATACTGGAGTTTTAGGGAGTATTTTGCATGTGGGGAGGGATATAGATTTTAAAATGATTTAACACTTATCCGGGGCTGATGTACTGTACTGCTTAAATTCTGTTACATAGGTCATACCTACACTGGGTGGACAATTGCGCAGGAGTAAAAAACATCTCTACTGTGGAAAGAAATGGGTTGTCACACCAATGATTTCTATCACCCATGTGTATTTGCTGTGGGAGAACCTAAGAAAAATTTCTTGCTCCCAGGAGCCTTGTGAAACAACGTGATACTCTGACTGCATGAGCTTCTTCAATTATTGGCCACATATACACAGGAGACAAATAAGCAAGCAGAAGGGGGAAAAGAAGTCATGAAAGGCTAGTTCAAATTTTTATGCAAAAATAAATAGGTAAAAGAGATGATGGGGTTTAAAATATACTCTATGGCTGCCAAAGAAATTCCCACTGGCTGCAAACACCTAAAAGATAATATATAAGAATATCCAGATTCTAAAGTACTAGAGAAATAAATATATAAGGTATTTATAAATTAGCAATTTATAAATTTATAAATTAACAGTTACAACTCCACTTGTCTCATGCTTTTTTTAGTTTTAAACGTGTGGACTTTATAAAGATCCAACATGAGACCTGACAGATATATCATTTCTACTGAAAAACTATAATAATTACCTGATCAAAGAGCCACGGCTATGGCCCACTAGGTAATGCTAGTAATGCACTTTAATGTGTGTTAATAATTGTAAAGAAAAGAAATCTCTCTAAGAGGGTACATAGCTAGCCAAGAGTGATTGCTTTCGCACA